CTCCAGTCCAGGACTGAGTCTCACAACTCTGGCTTGAGGCCCGATTCTGCAGGTACCTACACTGTGGTGAGAGTGTTATGTGGAGATCTTTTAAGTAACTAGATTTGTGACTCTGATGTGTCTTAGACTGTGGTCTCAGCACAAAAGCATGCAGTCAATCCTCAAGTTCACCACAAGATTGAACTCAGGGATTTTAAGTTTTTAAAGACAGAATAGCCACAGCAATGTCAGTATCTGAACAACAAGCTATTTTAGGCAGTTAAATTAGATAGAAATATTATAGGCATTCAGAAATATTATAGGTTGAGCCCCAAAGAAGCCAGTGCACAAGATGAAAACACATGAAAACCATGGGCAGAGAGATGCATTCCTTGCAGGGCAGACTTCGAGACAAGAGATGCAAGGAGTACACCTCCATACTTGCCATATGGTTAAAAACTAAAGATTAAAATTCTAAATAGACATAATTCATTTGGGTAGCGGGCAACTAGGAGTCTATTTCCCACCCTCTCCAGAAAAAGCCCTTGTTCTTTTCATGTACACTTGCCACAGGACTTGCTTACCCATTGGATAATCATCAAGGAAACTATACTTGTAATATTATTAGTTGATCATAGCTTGATCCCACTTTGTACACGTTTCTTAGTTTTTCCCTAGAAAGCTTCCCTGGTAAAGTGGGGTTCTCAGCCACCCACTAATGACCCCTTCCATCTTTATCACACATGGGCTTCATTTCCTACAATAAACATTTCCTGCTCTTACCCTCCAGAATTTACTCTTGTATCAGACATCTAGTAGATTGACACTTACACTATTCTTTGAATATTTGGAGGCCCTATATCATCCTCATATCAAAATTATATATCAACTTGTGGTTTAAAACATGCTTGGAAAATTTAATAAGTGTTTTACTCTCCAGAAACTGAAAGAGAGAGTTACAAGCTGGACAGGCAAGGGGAAAAATAAACTTAATGAGAATATTTATGTATCAGAAAAAAGGTGGAAGGAGATATTTGAGAGGCTATGGGAAAATAGGGATTGCAAATGAGAAAGAAATGGAATGTAAATGGAAAATGAGAAAAATATAGGGAAATTATACTCAGTTAATAAGTTAGCCAATGTGTGCATCTGGCAGAATACTATATAGGAGAAAGGCCTTATTAGAATTTCTGGCTAATCTTGACTAGAAAGAGTTAAAGCTTTCCTGGAGGGAACATTTAACAGGACAAGGGAGTGCTGAAAAACCTAGCACTGAGGCAGTAGGCAGGTGCTATTTGCAGATTAGCTGTTTCTCCCCACCTGCAGTAAAATGCAATGGATTAAAATGCAATGGATTAAAAAATACATGGACTTGAACAGGAGAAGTGGACTACATATATAATTTTTTTCTCACTCTTGGGCCAATATATTACTGCACTGAATGGTTAACTATTAATTCCAACTTCTAAGTTTTCTCCTAGCCAAACTATACACTCCAGAGATAAGGCCCAGATAAGGACAAGATGTCCCACCCAGGAATGTGAACTTGGACAATGTAACCCCTTGATAGAGATTCAGGGTCTGGGATCTATCAGTGATAGTGTAGAGAGGGAATCAGTTTGTGGTAAGTTTCAGTATGCACCTGGGAGGGAGGGTCTCTATCATTTTGATTAAAGGAAACTGAAGTCAAGGGTCCATTAGCCTTTTCTAAGTCACCTAAGGACATCTCCTAGGGAAGATGTCTCCTGCTTTCCTCCTTTCTTGCAAATAAAAGGATTTTTACTTTAAACTTGATTTCTTTAATTCCTTGTGGCTGAGTTTGAAACCCTGATGAACTGCTAAGACAGCAAAGCTGTGGTGCACATCCCTGTACTCAACAGTTAGCAAACCATTTAAAACCATGGTGGCAGAGAGAGCATATGACAGAACAAGGTAACACAGTAAAGCAACAATGGCAATAGTGTAATTATAACACACACACACACACACACACACACACACACACACACAGGAATTATTCTATCTAGTGGGAGAAAACCTAATACTTTAGTCTCCTCTGCTATTGGGAATGAGAAAACAGAGTATCTGCATAATCTGTGCAGATCTGAACCACTGGCCCAAGTTCCCTAAATACCCAGCCCTTGCTCCTGGATGCACAGCTGTCCCATGGCCTATTAGCCACTTAGTTTAATCTGAATGCTTCCCATAGATGAACAGATTACATTATGCTGATGTAGTAATGTAATAGAAAGGCCTTGCACCCTACATGATACAGAAAACCCCCTAGTTTTATTTAAAATCAAATAGTTTCTTTAGCTTAACTGTTGTCTACGAAGTTTTACATTCTATTGATGGATTTTCCAACAAAAACTGATAGAATATAGTTGCCAGATCATAAAAATACACATAAACAAGTATAAGGTGGAACTATGCCTTATAAAAATGCTAGAGTGGAAATTAGACAGTGCAGAGAGCTCACAAATATAAGAAATTAATAAGACATTTATATGAGGGAAAAAGCTGTAACAATACATTAAAGAAGAAATATTTATTAAGTTCTTAACACCAATCACAAAGAAATACAACCAGGAATATCTACAAATATAGATTCCACAAAGGGAAGACATTGAAAGTAGAGGAAATAATGATTTGAAGTAAAAGTGATGTAAGAAAAGGCATAATTTTGTCATTGATTTGGAAATTTAAATTACATGGTACATTTTAAAACATTTCAAGTAGGGCAAGGGATTTAACTCAGTAGCTTACGTGCCTGCCTGGCAAGTGTGAGGTCATGAGTTCAATCCCCAGAACCATTAAAAAAATAAAATAAAACAATAAAATATTTGGATATAATAAATAGTATTAAATTAGTAAACTTTGCTATATCGGAATTTTAGAACTTTAGACACAATATAATGAAATATTTTTTCCAAAAATCCTTAAATTTCAAAATAAAATAATTTTTATAATCATGTTTGGAGAAAAACAGCCAGTATAGTAATTGTTACAAAGTTTAAATAAAATAACTTACTTGGAAAATGGAATTCACATTACAAATAAAACTTCAAAATACCAAAAAGACATTTTAAATGTAGAGATAAAATGTTTTTAAAATAAAGGGATTTTTACTCTGCTTTATCTAAGCTTATGGATTTCCTCATATTCTAAATTCATTGTCAGATCTTTCCTTTGCAACAGTTTTCTTTAAAAAGTGTAACAAATGAGGTCAACATGACGATCATTAATTCATTTTTAAGGAACACTACAAACCTGAATCATCTGGAGAAAGGCAAAGAAGCAGGTGGCTGAGGCTCCTTGTCATGTCATGGAAAGCAGAGGCGTTAGCATGACTCACAGGAGCACACCTCACAGCTGGTATTGCTCATAGATTTTTTTATGCTCACACTTTTTATATTCAAAAATATGCAATATTTTGGCCTCAAAGCTCTAAACTATGACAGTTTTAGTCTTGCTCATATACTAAATACATATTCAGCTTATAGAGTTAAATTACACAGAGATTATTAGATATTAAGCTTTAAAGTGAATAAAGCAAGCACCGAAGAAAGATTGCACAAGGAATGAATGACAGAAGTTGTGTTAAATATACAGATATATTCATAATCACTGATTTAGAAAAGCATGCACAGAACAATGAACAATCGATAAAATATCTCTTTTCTTTGATTATTACTTTTGAAATTGATAAGATTTTGGCATAATAAGACAGACAAAGAAAGAAGAAAAGAGACCTTTATTGTGATGATGCGAGGGCTGCAGAAGAGGCAAGCACTCTTACTTAGAGCAAAGAAATGGAAGTACTTTTATCAGGTCTGGCTGGGGGCGGGGCTTGGGAGGGGGCAAAATCACTATCAACAGCTGATTCAATGGCGCATTTGCATGCACAAAACAGGAAACAGAAAGACTTGGCTGGGGGTGGAGAGTGAGGGTGGTTATGGGTCTTGGGATTGGAGAAGGCTCAGCGCATGGGCAAAAAGGGAGATTTATTTCTGGAAGTAGACGGAGAACATAGAAATTACTCTTGGAGAGAATAACTTCTGGGCCTGGCACTAAGTTGGGAAAATGCCATGTTAGAGCAGCTAAGCCTCAGGCTAGAAGAATCTCTCAGAAATTATCTTCAACATTCACATATGTTGCTTTCCTGTAACTTAATTTTACTTTAAAATATTACCTTATTCAGAACCCAAAATTGGGAACTGCTGCATTATTCTTCAGTTGTTTCTTGTAAATTAAATTTGACAAAAGTGATTTGTAAAACATAAAAGAGAACTGTCCAGATATATATAGTGAATATTATATAAAAATATTATAGGAATCCAGTTCATCTGGTGATAATGGCAGGTATTAATTGTATTGTCCTAAAAGTTTCATACTCATTTTCTTATCAAAATGACCAGTTTTATATATCATAAACAAATGTACTTATTGAATCTTATTATTTCAGTGAATAAGTATGTGTCAAAATGGAAAGATGCCAGGGGTATATAGGTCAGTGGCACAGGGATTGCGTCGCAAGTGTGAGGTCCTGAGTTGAATTCCAGTACTAAACATATGAAAAGTAAAAAAAAATAGTGAAAGCCGTTGCCCCAAACCTTGCTGTTAATAATCACTATAAAAGAAAGAAATACAATAACTGAACTGATATTTCATTATAAAATTTAAATATCTAGAAAAATACATTGATATAGTTAAAAAAATCACAAAAATTTTCTCATTTTGCACAATAATTTTTCCATTAAATATGGGTTATTTAGATCTTATATTTAACATGTCACTCAGGATACTAAGTTCCAGGATAAACTGGGTAGAACTCATGCCTCAAAATGTCCAACATCATGTTTGTTAGATATAGGGCTTCTGCAGAGGAAAAAAAAAAAGATAGAAAACCAAAATTCACTTTATTCAAAGTGACTCAAGAATTTCCATAACATACACATGCAAAATGAAAACACAAACAAAATAAAATGCAAGTGCACAGGTTTAAAAGCCTAGTGACACTGTTATTTTATTTGTTTGGAAACCTTTCTCTTCTGCATAATTCTAAAAACAGCATTTTTTACCTCTTTATTTCTGAGACTATAGATGAGAGGATTCAGCATGGGGATCACAATTGTGTAAAACACAGAAGCCACCTGATCCTTTCCCAAGGAGTAGGACTCTTTTGGTTTTAAGTAAGCAAAGATCATAGTGCTGTAAAAGATGGTGACTCCCAGGAGATGGGAGGCACAGGTGGAGAAGGCTTTTATCTTTCCAGAAGTGGAGTTAATTTTCAGGATAGTGGAAAGAATGGACAGATAGGATCCAGATATGGTGATAAGGGACATTATTAGGGTGGAACCAGCAAAGATGAATATGGTGATTTCAACATCATATGTGTCACTGCAAGATAGCACCAAAATTGGGGATGAGTCACAGAAAAAGTGATGGATGACATTAGAGTTGCAGAAATTCAGTGTACTCATGCAAACCGCATCAACAGTGGAATCTACAAAGCCAATAACATAGGAGCCAGTGAGTAGGGTGCTGCATAATTTTGTGGACATAATGACTGGATAGCGTAAAGGGCTGCAGATAGCAACATAGCGGTCATAGGCCATGGAGGAGAGAAGAAAACATTCGGTAGCAGCGAAGAATATAAAAAAGTACAACTGAGAGAAGCAGCCCAGGAATGTGATGCTCTTGTTGGAAGTCAGTAAGTTCTGTAAGGTTCTAGGGGTGATGACACTTGTGTAGCTAAGGTCCAGGAATGACAGGTGAGTGAGGAAAAAGTACATGGGAATGTGAAGCTGGGGATCCAGGTGAATGATCAGTATCATCCCTGCATTCCCTAGCACTGTGACCAGGTAGATCAGGAGGAAGAGCAGGAAGAGGACCAGTTGTGTCTCTTCAGAATCCGCCAGTCCCATGAGAATAAAGTTAGGCACTTTGCTGGAGTTCCATCTGCCCATGGTGACTGCTGTGCTTATCTGTTGAATAATAACATCTGATAATTAACCTGACTGGTTTCAAGAATATTTTAATGTGCAAATGACAAAAGTTTTTAATAATATAATTCATTGTTTCTAGACAGAATAAGGACTTTACTGAGTATAAGTGAAAAAATATAATTGCCCTTTACAGATATGATATAAACTCAAATTTTAAAAGATTAGGGCCCAGGGAACAAGGATGAAGCTGACACAATTTTGAATGATTTCATTAGTTTACATGTTCAATTCATATGATAACTTATGCCAGACACTATTACTTATCTGTATAAAATATATCAGAGCAGAACACAGAATGGAACATCTGAAATGAGAGTTATTTCATGTTATCAGTGTGATTCTACGAAGACATTTTCACAGCAAAAGATATGCTTTAGAAAACATTTTTCCTGATTATAACTTTTTAAAAGCAAATCTAGTAAAGTATCTATAATAAAGTAGTTTAAAATCAAAATTATGTGTTATTAACTGTCTTTTACTTATCTAAACTGTTTGATATTATCAATTAAATTCATTACTGTGAATTTAAGTGAGACATAGTAAGATTATATCCACATATTATTCTTCGTAAAAATACTAAAACTGAAGCTTAAGTTATAATGAAGTGGGCATGAAGGCGGTGTTAAAGACAGACTGTTTCTCACATCCTCCTCCTACTGAGAGCCACACTGTCCACCTGTCCTCTCCTCCACTCAGGTGATTGCACAGAGAACCGGTGCTGTCCCAGGAAATCACTGCGTCCCTCTGAACTGAGTCCACAGAGACACCCAGGAGGTCAGGGTCTGGTTTAGTGTGGACCAAGGAGGAAGGGAGCCGTGAGAGGTCTGGAGGTAAAAGCCCCTGTGCGGTTGAGCACAGAAAGAAAGATGCAGGCCTGACACAGGGTGAGGCCCGCCCCCATCTCCTTCACAGTAGCTGGGAACAAACCATTTTCTTCCCACCAAAAGAGAATTTCTGCCACTGTGTGTGGAGTCAAGGAAAAGTCTCAGACATGTACTCTGTTAGTAATTCTTCTCCCAACATGATCATTAGCTGTCTAACTTATTTTTAAATTATATTTTCAAATTATGTACATTTGCTGAAGGCATTGATTCCATCAACTTTATATTCTAGTTTCACAAATCTTAATATTATTCAAAGAAGTAAGGTTTAAATGATCTCAATTATTATGACAAAATTTTCATTTGTTTATATGAGCTAATAACTTCCAATTTGAAAAGTGATACTTACCATGAGACAAAGTTGCTGGGATAAAAAAATACCTTTTCCAGTATTATATCTCTACAATCTTATCAGGCTCAAATTATCCCTATATACAAAATCCTTAACACCAATAATCCTGAAAATTTCTCTGCTGTATTTGTTTCTTAATGTAATTTATTTTTATGCTTTTTAAAATTCTAAGGTAAATTATATTCTGTTCAGCTCTTGATCAAATGAAAATTTTATGAGACAGTTTTATCTGAAAAGAATCTAAGGCAGAAATGGCATAGAAACAAGATAGCGTGCGGCTTCTCCCAGCTAACAGTTTCAGGGTGCCTCATATACTGTGCATGCAGAATAAAGCAACATTTAGTCATCCTCAGGGTGCAGTTTCTAGGGAAATTTGCTTGGCCAGATTTCAAGGATAAAAGCCCAAGGACAATTTTACAAGATTTTTTCACCATAGGAGGGACAATAAGCAATTCATACTTTTAGTAATCTTTGAAATTGTTGCTAAAATTCATTTATTTTAAATTTTTTTTGATACTGGGAATTGAGCTGATGACATCGTGCTTGCCAGGCAGGTGCTTATGATGCTGAGCTAAATATCCAGCCCATCATTTATTTCACTTTTTAAAAAATTTTATTTAAGGAGAAAAAGAAAACAAAACAGGAAAAGGGTACAAGTAATACAGAATTTCAAAAAAAATAAACAGTAGGGAATCACTAGTTAATAGATTACATATTCTAGGATTACATCTTAGAAATAGTTGCTCAAGTTACAAAATTAAAGCATATAAAGTGGACATTCAAACAGTGAGACTGCAAACAGTTCTGGTCAATGATCCAAAAAAATTCAGTAATGTGGTTATCTATCTTATGCGCTTAAATTATTTTACTTTTTATGTGACACATAATATGTATATTATTTCTGGACATATATTTATGAGTAACAATATAAAGATGTAACAATTTCACTAGGTAATATTTTTATTCTTAAAAGTCTGATTTAACTATAGATGCAAGTCATATTCATAAGAAATATATTGAAAAAATAAAATTCACAGTAAATCATGAAGAGTCGGGGATTTAGCTCAGTGCATAAGCGCCTGCCTTGCAAGCACAGAGTCATGAATTTGATCCTTGGTACCAAATTTTTTTTTAAAAAGGAAATCTTAAATGCCTTTGTGCCTATGAAGATAATTTGGATGCACTGTTGCAGATTTGCCTAATTATTATAATACTCTGTATTCAATGTCATCCTAATTCAAAAACTGAAATACCATCATATCCTGTGACTAAGGCAGGTTATTTTATAGACCAGCACCTTAATATGTCACATATTCTGTGGTGTTCCTTTATGCATTAAAGCAAACTGAGTGTTCCCAGTGATAAATGGACATATTAAGACATCGTCAAAATTCAGCAGAGCCTCCATTCTGGTTTGTCTGTGTCACCTGCACCATCTGTAGAGTCGATGTTGTGTAATGTGGTTTACTATATTAGTATGCTTAGATCCTGCTGGCATAGACTTTCTGGCTACCACCGCTGACCATTGGGTCTTCCCCATACAGATCCATAAAAGAGACTGGCGTGAGTCCTTCTTGTGGGCTCTGGATCTCCAATTGGACTCGTGGGAGGCATTGCCCTGAGCTCTGGGTTTTTATCTGGACTCATGTGAGACATTGCCATGGGGTCTAGGCTCTTGACTAAATAATCTATGTCTTTGGTGTTGCAGATAGATTTCCTGAATTTTCCTGTGTTAACTTCTGGTGACCATTATAAAAATATTATAGACTCCATGTCCTGAACTTAATTGTTCTCTGTGTACAACCCTTGACTACAACAGATGCATTGCTGCAGATTTGACTAATTATTATAATACTCTGTATTCAATGTCATCCTAATTCAAAAACTGAAATACCATCATATCCTGTGACTCAGGCAGGTTATTTTATAGACCAGCACCTTAATATGTCACATATTCTGTGGTGTTCCTTTATGCATTAAAGCAAACTGAGTGTTCCCAGTGATAAATGGACATATTAAGACATCGTCAAAATTCAGCAGAGCCTCCATTCTGGTTTGTCTGTGTCACCTGTACCATCTGTAGAGTTGATGTTGTGTAATGTGGTTTACTATATTAGTATGATTAAGTTTATTTTTATTTTTTAAAAGAAAAATGTGCAGAAAAGCACAATCAGTCCTAAATCTAACATGACTTTTTACAATGAATTCAGTAGACACTTACCTTTTGTATATAATCAACAAAAATGCCTTTAAAAGAAAACAAAGTAGCAAAACTGAAATGTTTCATTTTAGCATTATTTTAGATAAGGAAGCAAGTTGTGAATAAAAATATGCTTTTTTGAATGTGAGATAATTATTATAAATTTTGCATTAATTCATGAACAAATATATATTAGAATGTTCTAGAAAATGTGTTAATGTCTGAAAATTTCAGGAAATATTATGTTGTGGTGGATAAAGTACTATTTCTTTTAAGTATCATATTTCTAATGAATTTGATGAACTAAATCACTATTATAAGTTATTTTGGATTATACTGAGACAGGCAAGTTGGTGACATAGGAGCCAGTATTATACTATGTGCCTACCATATAAGGTTGTGGTTTATTTTGAATGAAAACCTAAAGGTGAATTTTTGGGTCAATATCACCTCAGTAGGCATGTGATTGCAAGATGCCATGAAGTAGGAATTACTAGACAAAAAGCTTTTCAATTATTGGAACACATATGGCCCTTGTGCTATTTATGCCAGCAGAGAAATTCTCTAGTAACTGTTTACAAACACAACCAACTTGAAACCAGGGTTGTATAAATGCTTTCAGTTTAAACCATGATCCATTTTTAACTCCTTGGTCATCACGTTGCACTTGAGATTTTACTGTTTTGGTAGGGAATACAGACATAGATCTTTCACTAATGGGAATAAACCATCACATTTTCAGTTATCATTTTTCTTTACCTTCTGCTTCTCTGTCTTTCTCTAACCATCCTCCCTCCTGGATAATTCTTCATGTATGAAGATCAGTCTGGAGATTTCTCAAAAAGCTGGGATTAGAAGTCTCATTTGTTCCAGCTATTCCACTTCTAGGCATTTCCCAGAAGAACTGAAAGCATCATACCACAGTGATATATGTGCACACATGTTTATAGCAGCACAATTTGTAATAGCCAGATGGTGGAAAAAAACCTAAGTGTCCATCAACCGAGGAATGAATAAAAATCTTGTGGTATTTTTATACATTGGAATACTACTCAGCTATAAAGCATGATCACATTGAGATATTTATAAATAAATGGATGCAATTTGAGCCCATACTCATAAGTGAAATAAATCAAACTCACATGTATAAATACCGAATAGTTTCCCTAGTTTAAGAAATGATAAAAATATATAAAAGCATGTGGTAATCATGATTCCCCATTATATGGGTTTGAAGCCTTATAAAGTTTTCACTCATTAATTGGAATGGTTTTATTCTGGGCTGTTTGATATTATTGTCTATGATGATATGACCAGCTATTTTGAAGAAAATAAGACAATATAATAGCTAGTGCTGATTTAATATCATCTTGTTTTGAAGTCCCATAAAACTGTTGTTTTTCTGTCTCCATTGCTTTTATCATGTTATATCTTATTGGGATTTATTATATATGATAGCATAAACAAAAATTTTTATAGGCAAAGAGATAATATAAAAGTCGTTGTTCATTTTCTGTTAGCCTGTTCT